AGTGGTATGATTGTACTGTGTGTCTACTAGTTATGTATATTTTGAATTCAGTGGAAGTTTTATTCTAGATGTAAGTTATAATTTTACAAAAATAATCATTGTAAAATATGATTTTTAACTAATAAATTTACTTACCTGAGTAATAAAAACTCCATCAAGTAGCTGAAAAGTTTCTTTTTGGTTTTTAGTAATATCTGCATTAGAATGTAAACCAAAAATTTCTGGACTAGTTATAAGAGGAAGTGCTTTGATGTATTTAATATAATCTTCAAACTAAAAATATAATATATAACATAATTATTATTGAAAACATTTACTACACTCAAGATATCATTTATCATTTATTATTTAAAATTTGTAGATTTACAGCTACATTATGGTTTTTAGAAAAAAATTTTAGAGATTACATTGTAATTATTAATATATGCACATACTTTTATATTTTTCATTAAGTAAAATGTGAGGTTCCAGACTGAGTCCAAATCCCTTATTAAACATACAAAAATTTGATTTATTTAAAGAAAACATTTTGTTAAGAAAAAATATGAAATAAACAGTATGGTTGACCCTGTAAGGTCATGCATGAGTTGATGCAAACTAATGGATTGGAATGTTTAGAATGTCAATCAGGAAAATCAAGCTTTGACTCTGATAATCATAGACATGACAATATTTGGAAATAAATAAGGAAATGTTTTCTTTGCATTGTAAAAACTATTTGTTCATTATATAGTTCATTGCAATGCAAAGACTATTGCATTGTAATTAATTAATAAAAACAAGAAAATTATCATTGCATGAGATACAAGTGATAGTTTTAAAGTTCAATCAACACTTATGGATGAAGTCAAACGAAGGTGTCAAATAGATTAACAGAGAGTGATCTTTCCCATGCCATATCTGGTCATCTAATTTCACCTTGAAATGGGAAAGGACCAATTGGGAGGTAGAGAGAAGAAATCAGGACTAATGAAATTAAGAATTTTGGGAATAAATCCTTTAAAAACCTTGAAATTCAAGGACAAGAAGGTGGTTGCTCCAACCTAGCTCAACCTGTTTGTCCTCTGTGTTGTGTTCCTCTTGTCTTGGACTTTATCATTCTGCCAATAACCACAATTGATTTCTAGCCAGTCTGCCCTGGGGCCATCTGAGTGCTGTCGAAACTCCATCTGATTACTGTTGGACCTCAGATCGCTGTTTGATAACTGATGATGGCAACTTTCCATATTTTGTTTCCATGTAGAGAAGTTCTTGACCAGAATTGTGTAAGCATAATTTTCAAATAAACATCTTGTTGACAATGGTACCCACATTGCATTTTGCACCCTTGTTCATCTTAACAAGATGAGGAATTAACCTCCCTCTTTCTCCCTGTCAGCAATCTCATAAAAAGTTAAATCATAATACAGGGCTTCTTAAACTTTTTTATTCACGACCCCATTTATGATTGTGATTTTTTTCACGACCAAAAAAAAAATATATAATAAAGATGTATACAAATTTGCAAAAACAATAATNTTAAACTTTTTTTATTCACGACTCCATTTATGATTGTGATTTTTTTTTGCGACCCATATATATAAAATAAAGATATATAAAAATTTGCAAAAACAATAATCGTCTACTACCACAGTTCACTCTTGTGTTACAATGGAACAGAGACAACTGAATACACTGAAAAGCAACAATACTACACTAGTTCACACTACAATCAGTGTTGCTGAATCATTGTCTCGCTGCACCAGAAGTGACACAAAGCGCAACTCACAAAACCTATGACGCAAAGCATGCCATTTTCAAACTCTCACAAATTATTTTAATGCAAAATATTGAAAATAACTATGCATCTTAAATAAGCTTCTTAAACTATGGGTTGCGACCCATAGTTTAAGAAGCCCCGTCATAATATAACAAAATAAATTTGCTTTAATTCACAATTTTGTTATTTTTTAGTATTTATCAAAAACCACAACTGTTGAATTGCTCTTTGTTCATGGGAACTTTTAGGATATTTCTGAAAGTAATCATTAAAAACTGCACAAGCTTTCTGTAAGATGAATATATATGTATCAATATCTCAAAAATTAAAGACTGATAGATTATGCATACCAATATTTTTATCAGTATCCCTTACATTTGTAAGCAGTTGTAAACTGTATTTAGAATCCATACAATATTGTTTATATTGGATAAAATATCAAGTTTAGTGATCAAGTTATTTACATATTACATTTCACTCAGGCATGCTTCGTAGACAATGTATTGATAGACATAAGTATGGAATCAGGAAAGCTATGGCTGCAATGATTCCCAAACAGTAATTATATCAATATATATGCAATTTTTTATCTGAAACTAAAAGATGAAGGAAGGAGTAAGTGAGATGGGATGGAAAAAAACTGACTCTACAAGTTCAAATATAGGCGATAAAAAAAAATGGACCACTGGCACTATCTTGAGTGAAGGCAAAGCCTTTACTTGATTTCTTCTTTAACAGTATACAACCAAAAGATTTATTAAAAATATTTTCCTCCCATATGGAAAAACAAATGCAAATGACTTATGCTTGTCTCAAGAAATGTTACTTTATTTTCATATAGTTCACAGTTTGTGAATTGCTAGCAAAGGTGACCATCTAATCCAGAATGTACTCCATGTCCTCCTCAGATTTTGGTCCCTCTTATTTGGTGTCTAACCACAGACTTTTTTTTATCTCTTTCTTGTTTATTAAATTAGAACACTAGTCCTCTCACCCATTTCTATTGTGTTCAGTATTGACATCAAACAAAAGAGAAAGATAAAGAAAGAAATAAAATGCTTATTATAAATACTTAATTCTGAAAGCCAAAATTCTTTCAAAAAGAAACACTTTTACAAACCTGAAACATCTTTGGCTTCCACATTTTCATGATCATGTTCCAAATATGTATGAAGTTATTGAAATATACACATACTTTATATTGTCATAATTAAACCTAAATGCATTTCTACAATTTGTACAGCTGAAGAAAATACTAGATATTTATAAGGTGTTTTCATTAGCTATTGCATTTGATTAATGAAAATGTTTTAAGATATTCTGATCATGATTGAACAAAAGCCATACAATTCATATTATTTTTAAAAAAACAATATTTGTATTCTGAAAATTTCTTACAAATTTATAGAATATTTCAATGCTTATTTTCTAATAAAAAAAATGAAATAATAATGCATAATTTTTTATATCAATACATCAAATGCAGTACACTTACATTTTCTTCAACAGGGGCATAATATATTCCAGAAGAATCAAAATAATAATTTTCTTGATTGATTATTTCTGTGCAATAAAATTTATTCAACAGAGTTATTAACGTTCTTCTATCCCAATCATCTGTTACACGCCCACCATAATTACATTCTCCAGTCAGATATTTCAATGCATCATATTGAATTTCCTAACAGTAAAATTTTTTAAATCAAAGTTTCATCGCTCAATTTTAACAATTAGTAGCAAATTACTACGCATTAATTATTAAAATTAACCATATTATGGCCTGAATATTTAGGCAATCATTTGGTGATATTTCTATACAATTACATGTAATGTCTAATGAAATTAATAAATCCTTATAGTTAATGTTAATTAAAGTCTTAAATTAATAATTACCTCATATTCATTAAGGAACATAGCTAATTGCTGAACACTAATTCTAAGATCTGTTTCATTAAATTGATATTGAATATTCCATCCCAGAGATCCAAATTTACGTCTTTCTTGTATTAAGGCATGGAAGAAGCACAACCCAAATAATAATTTTTTGAAAGATTTCTAAAAAATATAAAATTTCATCTGTAAAACTTTTGAAGATAAGTGAAAAAATTTGTATAATTTTGAAACTTTACATATTAAAATAAATATTCATTAATTGTTTTTAATTGTTAAAATTTACTGCTAACTTAGTTAATAATAAAAATCATAAGAAACACAAATAGATGATTTCTTATAATTATAAGATCAACTGAATGATATTTTTACATTTATATAATTTGGATTTTAAGATGCTTATTATTAAAATATGTTTCACAACTTTACCTCACTCAACAATACAATTTAGACTCTGTCAAA